TTCTCTCTTCAATTGGTGAATCCTTGGATGTCTCCATCTCACCTTCCGAAGTCGATGCGATCCATCGGGTTCCTCAAGGTCCCGGCAGAGCTTCCAACTCGGACCCGAAAGCAATTGTGGTTCGTTTTTGTAGCCGCATTGTTCGCGATCAGCTTCTTGCTGCCGCCAAGTTGCGGAGACGATCGGCTCCGAAGGATTCTGGCCCTGGTTTGTCCATTGATGGGATTTCGGATAAACTTTTTATCAATGAGCATCTTACCCAAGCGAATAAAATCCTCTTTGGGAGAACCAAGAAGATGGCCAGGGAGAAGAAGTACAAATATGTATGGATTCGTGACTGCAAAATATTTGTGAGGAAGGGGGATGACTCACGCCCCATCTTAATAAGATCCGCAGGTGACATTGATAAGCTTTAATTTGTTAAGCTTTCATTTGTCACTTGTCTTATCTCTTTCATTATAAGTTACTTGTTAATGTTCAATGGCTCCTCTTTCGTGTTACTACCAAAACGTGCGAGGTCTTCGCACTAAGCTGGTCGATATGCATAACTGCCTTTTAAATACAGACATAGACGTGATTTGTTTAACTGAAACCTGGCTTCACCAAGGTATTCACTCTGCCGAAGGCTTTCCCTCTTGTTACAGTGTTTTCAGACGTGATCGCCCGAACGTCCCCGATAATAGTGTGCGTGGTGGTGGCGTTTTGATTGCGGTAGCCTCTTCCCTGTCTGTCCTTCCGCAATCAACATGGTTTGTGGACCTTGAGGCAGTGTGTGTTACTCTACGGACCGGTTCTATAACTTTACACATTTGCTGCGTTTATATTCCTCCTTCTGATCAAAATGCATTGCTTAATTTTATTAATGAAATTAATTTAATCATTGAAGGCCATCCTAATGACAAATTTTTGATTTGTGGCGATTTTAACCTAGCTGAAATTCGGTGGTCAGCCGATCTTTCAACCGGCGTCTCCACTTCTTCTGCTCGTTCGAGTGAGTTTCTGGATGCCCTCGCCTTATGTGGTCTCAACCAATTCAATTTTCACATGAATGCCTTTCAGAACACTCTCGACTTAATTCTTGCTAATTTTTCTAATATATCTTCTATTTCATTAAGCACTCATCCTCTGATCCCTGAGGATAGTGCTCACAACACTTTAGAATTCGTTTGCTCGTTTGAAATGCCACACCGTCTTCCCACTGAATCTTCTAACGTATTTAACTTCAGACGTGCTAATTTCTCTGACATTGATTCGTATCTGTCTACTATTAACTGGGATACAGAGCTAAATACTCGTGAAGTAGACCCTGCTGTTGATTTCTTTTATTACCATTTAAATTTTGCCATTCAAAAATTTACTCCGATCAAGCGCAAATTCACTAGTGGTTTTCCGATGTGGTTTTCGCGAGATACTATCAGAGTGATCAGAGAAAAGCGAAGGGCTCATGTTAAGTGGAAACGGTATGGAAAACAAATAGATTATTTGACTTTTTCATTATTGCGAGGGCGTTCTAAGTTTCTCATTCGGCGCGACTATGGGAGGTATGTTGGTGGCGTCGAGAGCAGTATTAAAGCTAATCCTAAATACTTTTGGTCTTATATTAAAAACAAGAAAGGTGCGGATACAATTCCTACACCTATGACATTAAATGGGGCTGTTGCCGGGGACGGTAAGGGTGTCTGCTCGCTATTTGCAACATATTTCTCTTCGGTGTATGTCCCTCCCTCTGTTAATCCTGTTAATTCAATTAATTCACTTCATTCTGCTAATGCTGACCTTAATGATACTACATGTTTGGGTCCGATGCGCTTTGAGCGGTCTGAGGTTGAGGAAGCTCTTATTGCTTTAAACATAAATAATGGTCCAGGCACTGATGGTATTCCTCCTATCCTAATAAAATCATGTTTTGAATCTCTTTCTCTACCACTTTCCATCTTATTTAACAAATCTGTAAAGGAAGGTACGTTTCCTGCCTTTTGGAAACGTGCATATATTTTGCCCATTTTCAAATCCGGTAGTCGTAACCTTATATCTAACTATCGCCCAATATCTATATTGTCAGTGTTTGGTAAGGTTTTAGAGAAACTGGTTTATACCAGACTCTTCTTTAGGCTTAAATCCATAATCGATCCTAGACAACATGGCTTTTTTGCGAATCGGTCAGTGGAGAGCAACCTGCTTGAGTACACAAATTATATTTTAACATCATTTGACCATTATTGTCAAGTTGATTCTGTTTACACCGATTTTAGCAAGGCTTTTGATCGTGTGGATCACAGCCTTCTTTTATCAAAACTTCATGGTTATGGTGTTCATGGTGGGTTGTTCCGCTGGTTTGATTCATATTTGCGAGGTAGGAGCCAGATTGTGTCTGTTAACGGATATTGCTCTGACCCTATGTCAGTTCCCTCGGGTGTCCCTCAGGATAGCCACCTCGGACCCTTGCTATTTAATCTTTATGTTAACGATATTTTCAAGGTTGTGAAACATTGTGAATGTCTAATGTACGCAGATGATCTCAAGCTTTATCTGCGTATCTCCTCTCCGTTGGACTGTTCTAGACTGCAGACTGACCTCAGGATTTCTGACTTTTGTACTAAAAACCACTTGACCCTAAATCTGTCTAAATGTAATGTTATTTCTTTTTCGAGAAGGAAGAATACTGTTCATTACGATTACAACATCGCTGGCGTAAACTTAACACGCGTTTCCTTTATTAGAGACCTTGGAGTGACTCTCGATCCCAAGCTTCTTTACGCACAGCACATTGACACTACTGTTAGTAAGGCTTGGCGTATGCTCGGTTTCATTATGAGATCCACCTCTTCCTTTGTAAGCGTTGACGCGATTAAAAATTTATATTTCGCATATGTTTACAGTATTCTTAATTTTTGCACTGTACTTTGGAATCCCCAATACCTTATTTATAATGACCGAATTGAAAAAATCCAATCTAGATTTTTGAAATATCTAAACTTTAAATCTTCCATACCTTATATTAATTATCATTCGTCTTGCAGATCTTTTCGGTTAATGCCCCTTCGACAACGTCGCCTGTGTAACGACACATTATTCTTCTACAAGGTTTTACACAATATGTGTGATTCCACAGTTCTTTTGAATTCGGTCAATATTCATGTTCCTCCCCGTCTTCTTCGTTTTAATTTCTTGTTCTGTACGCCTATTCCGCGCACCAATGCTTTTCGAAACTCCCCTATGTTGCGAATGGCTCGTCAGGCTGATAAGCTCGATAACTTGATTTGTTTCAGCATTCATTTTTTACGTTTAGGCGCTTACTTTTTAATGCAGTCAGCGAATTGCCTCCTTCGTTTTGGTAGCTCGTTGGTTCTGTTTTTGTATAATGTTTAATTTCGCCGTTACTATTGCTATTAGGCATTGTTTTATTTTATTTTACTTTTTGGCTTTTTTGCTTTATTGTATTATTATTATTGTTTTATTTTGTTTTCTCTTTTTTTTTGTATATATATAATATCTGAATTCCGGTGTTTTTAGTTTAAGTTTAATTTTATTTTTAATTGCTCGCCTTAATTTTTTTCTTAATTTTTTCTTTATTCATTTTTCCTTGGTACACGTTTTCTTTTTTTTTTATTGTAAATTTTTTTTTCGTGGTACAGATCATTTGGGTTTGTTCTGTTTCTGTACCCATAAATTATAAATAAATAAATCAAGAGATACAGTTGTTCCAACTTTCCGTAACCTTGATTAAGTTTTTGGAGTATATGGTACTTCCAAGTTAATCTTGTGTCAAGGATTATGCCAAGATATTTGACAGGTTTGTCCGAGTCGTTCCATCTAATAGCTTTTCTGTTAATTGCAATGCCGGTGGACTTTTAATTCGTTTGAGTGCAAAAACTTTTTCGATACTCTTAGATGGATTTATTGCTATATTTCAAGACTAAACCATTTGACTAGGGTGTTTATAGCTATTTGCAGATTTTCCTGAATATTTTCTCCAAATATTCTGCAACACCAGTACTTTTCTGTTGATCTGTTACTAAGTGTCCATTATCAATATTTACGTGTACCTTTTAACTTCCTACATTTGCAATGATTTATGTAGCCTAATTACGCTTAATCTCCCAAATAGCATTGATCTTAAAATGGTGCAGGTTGTACTGGGCCACCCTTAGTACGCCACTCTTCTCGGCACGTTATCTGTATAAGTCTTCGAAATCATGATTAAGAAGTCCTTGTCTCCCAAGGTGACTGAATTACCTTTCTCTACATCTTCTATCTCCTTTCGGGACTTTGTCTATCTTACGTGCGCAATTAAAAAGAAACAGCTTTTATTCTACATACAAGCTTACGCGACTTTCGTAACTTCCTTGTGGAAGCTACATCAATTAGCAATATTTAAATGCGTGTGCAAATTCCATTTTAAAAGTGAACAGTCACTTCAAATTCCAGCGAGCGTGAAAATTCACATCTATGTCTGGAATACAAATTTGGATTCTAAAGATGGTAGGAAGATCACTTCTAAACCTCAAAATTTCCTTAATGTTACATTTCCTTGGGCGGGGAAGTAGCAGTACAGCCTTCTTCATCCAAGCCGCCTTTTCTATGTTTTTTTTTAATATGGGCTACATAAATCATCAGCTGGTTTTGGGAATTAACGGTAGTGATTATTAGATACATCCTAAAATCTTACTTTTTGAGTGATCTCTAATACAATTTACAATAAATGATAATCAACTCGGTTTCTTAGGTTTTCATTGAATGGTCCAAACAAGGTTAACATATCTTTCAATAAAAAAGCAATAAAAGCTTTCAATTTTTCCTGTAAACAGAAACTGTTCCGGATTTATTTTTATTCGCAATCAAAATCAGGTCAATCATTTCCCCACATCCTGGTATTGTTATAACTGTTCTACTTGTTCTTAAGAGGAAAAAAGTTTTTATGTTGACAACTACCAATTGGGGTTAAAAACATTATATTTATTTTTATATGTTTTGTACTTATTCAAAAAATTATATTTTAGAAGAAGCTGCTTTTAAACGGACGGATTCCCAAGAAACTCCCCCGACTCCTCTTTTCGACGACGATGTATCTCAACCTTTGGAACCATTTCCTAGAATGGAATTTACAGAGGACGGTTGGGAAATTCAACTACGACAGCCGAACAAAAAGAAAATTACCGGACAAAGATTCTGGAGAAAAATGTGGCTTCGAGTCTACCAAACAGGTGACACTTCTTACCTACAACTCTTCAACAACAAAGAAGAGAAAAATCCAGTGCAAGAACTCCCATTACAACCGTGCTATTCCGTTTCGGATATTGGAGCTCAACAATACGATACATTTGGAAAAATTTTCACCGTAAAAATCCAATATATTTTCTATAAAGAGAGACCGGGAATTCGACCTGGACAAGTAAAGAAAGCTGAACGAATTACAAATAAACTTAGCCAATTTGCTGCTTATGCAATTCAAGGTGATTATCAAGGTGTTAAAGAATTTGGAAGTGATTTAAAAAAGCTGGGTCTACCAGTAGAACACGCGCCACAAGTATCCCAATTAATGAAGCTAGGCTCATTAAGTTACGAAGACCTAAAACGGTTCTCATTTTCAATGGAAGAGGCATTATTTAAAATGAATGCCCATCGAGATCGTGCTTTACAATTCAAAATGGAAGAGGTGCAAATTACTGCAGTCGATGAACTTTACGTAGAACAAGACGCTGAAGGTCACGTTGAAAAGCAAATAGCTCGTGTGAGACTATTCTTTTTAGGATTTTTGACCGGAATGCCGGATATCGAGCTAGGTATTAATGATATGCGGAGACAAGGAAAAGAAGTCGTCGGTAGGCATGATATAATCCCGGTAGCAACTGAAGAATGGATTAGATTGGAAGCCGTCGAGTTTCATTCTTGCGTCCAGCAAGACGAGTACGAAAAATCGCACATTATTAAATTTCAACCTCCAGATGCTTGTTATATTGAATTGATGAGATTTAGAATTCGACCACCGAAGAATCGGGAACTTCCTTTACAATTAAAACCAACTATTTGTATTTCAGGAAACAAAGTAAAATCATTTTCTTTTCCAATTAATTTAAATTTTAAAATTAAAATTTTAGGTTGAATTGCGCGCTGATGTGTTGGTGCCAGGTTTTGCTTCAAGGAAACTTGGCCAAGTACCTTGCGAAGATGTAATGATAAGATTTCCGATTCCCGAGTGTTGGATTTATCTTTTTCGGGTGGAGAAACATTTTAGATACGGTTCGGTAAAATCGACTCATAGAAGGACGGGAAAAGTGAAAGGAATCGAAAGGATTTTGGGCACCGTAGACACTTTACAAGAGAGTTTAATTGAAGTTACTTCCGGTCAAGCGAAATATGAACATCAACACCGGGCGATTGTCTGGCGATGTCCTCGTTTGCCGAAAGAAGGACAAGGTAAAATTGTTTTCCTTATTATTATTATATAGGGTGTATCTGAATTGCTTGGTCAAACTTCATCAACGTAATTTATGGAACAAAACTGAAAAAAAGTTCCTGTAAAGATGTGAGTTAACTTTTTCTTTATAGTAAAACTATTTTTAAAAAGTTAAAAACTTATTTTTTTGAAACTTGATTACAAAAAGACACTGAATCTAATACAATGAGTATTGATACTAGACTAAATTATCTCTAGTTGAGCGCATAAATTTATTACGGCGATTACAAAAGAATCTGCTGATTATTTATTATATATTTTGATTATTTGTTCTCGGCTTATAACTCCTCCGGGCCAAGATAGGATTACGGCGGTTATATCGGCGGTAATTCCTCAACTGGAATTTGATAACTTTTATTGGTGTTCCCTTTTTTAATATAAAATTACAATAAAAGATATTATAAGCAAACAATACATAATGTAATCGTTAATATAACCAATTGATTGATTATTATTAATTGAATTTAAAAGTTCTTGTTGTTCCGTTATTGTTTTAGAAATATTAAGTATTGTTGGCTTGGTCAAATTTACATTTTCTATTTTTTTTAAATTATTTGTATACTCGATAAATTTAATATTGCTATTCAAAATTTTCTTATAATTTTTAATTACTTTATTTTTAATTTTAAATTCACAATTATTAATATTTTTAATAAGATAAACACCATGGATTATAATGGTCTGTTTTTCTTTATTACATTTTTGAATTAATTTATTTTTTTTTAATTTGCAATTTTCATAATTATCGTCAATATTTAAAATATGAATTTCACATAGAGAATTATTATTAATAAAATGTTCTATTTCATGATTACATAAATAGGTTTCTTTTTTAATTTCTAAATAAGGCTGATCTGAATTAATAAACAATTGATCTTTAACTCCTAAATATTTAAATGTTGGAGTTATTTGTTTAAATGTGTTATTATTCAAAAATATCGGTAGCGCACTCAAAGAATAATATTGATTACTAACTATCGGTATTACTAACACAAATACATAGTGTTTCTCGTTTTAATAAACTTTAATCTTAATTAACGATTCTATATGATAAATCTTGTCGACTATTATATCAAAAGGAAATTCGTGATTAACATTTAAATGAATATTTTTAATACAATCTAAAAGTAAGTTTGATTCGATTACGGTAGGCTGTAAAATGCTTAATTTTGCAAAAGTGATCGTCTGCAGTAAATCTTGTAATCTATCTCTTAATTGATCCAAGATTATTAATTGGTGATTTAATATCTCTAGTGCGTTTACTCTTAACTCTGTTTTCTCTGCCTTTAATGCTAATTCATCTTGATTTTTTACCATTATTTCTATTAACTTTTCAAAATTTGTCGTAACGTTATCTAATATTAGCAATTGTGTTTTCATAACGTTATTCATTTTTTCTTGGTTGTTTCATAGATTTAATAGAATTTCTTCATGTCGTTTTCCATCTTCGGCATCTAAATTGCTCTTATGGCCTTTATAATTCCTCCTATAAAATTTACTGCACCTGGTTTGTATCTTGTGGTTAATTCGGTCGCTTCGAAGTATTCTTGCACTCTGGCAATTTCTTGCTCTTTTAAATTTTCTAATTCTTGTAGATGTTCTGTAGGAAATCCGTGTTTTATAAAACTCGTTTCTTGTTTTATAAAGTTTTCCCAAACAGTTAAAAGGTTTGAATAATCTTTTTGGATAATTATTTCAAATTGATTTTCTACATTATATGCCACACCTAGTTTGATGGGTAGTATTCCTGCTTGATTATCGATTTTACTTATTTCTGCTGATCCTCTTCCGATGAGGATTCTGGAAAAGATCCAGATTTTAAAGAATTAATATGATATTTTAATATTTTATTTTTAGAATTTTTAACTTCTACTGTATTGTTATCAAAAATGTGCGTTATTGTGTATGGTCCCCAGTAACGCTCTTTTGTCTTTTTAGTATAATATTTGGAAGGTTTTACATAAACTTGTTGACCGATTTGAAATTTTCTTAGTTCACGTTTTTCGTTTAATTTAGTTATTTTCTTCTCTTTTTCCTGTTGCATTTTTTGAGCTATGCTATTATAAAGATGTTTTGTTCTTTCTTTATGATTTTGTATGTATTCTTGAAAATAAATGTTATCGTAATACAAATCTAATGGTTCTCTGGAATTTGTGTGACCATATAAAAGTTCAAAAGGTGATACGCCTGTTATTTTGTGAGTTGACGAGTTATATCCTAATACAGCTAATTTCAATAATTCTTTTATATCAAGTCCAATTTTTTGAGACTTTAAGATTCTTAAATGTTCTAATATTGGTGCATTTGAATTAGCATTTTGCGATGTCGTATAATGAATATTTACCTTGTATAATTTCAATAATTCTTTTAATGTTTCCACAATAATATATTTTGCACACCACATTTCTTTTATTATTTATAATGCAGAAGTATCGGTAAGTATTCGTTATATTAGAGTTTTCAAAATTTGTTACCTTTCTTCTCCGCTCTGAATTACTTAATTCAGTTGTACTTAGTATAAATATTTTTTTTTAATTAGCATCCATCTTATAGTCACTTAATAGTCAATAATAAATATTTTTTCTCCATTTTCCACAATTCTCCATGCAGTCTTTTTTCTTTTATAGGTTTCACTTTTTTCTTATAAAAACATACACAAGCCCACTAAGGAATGTTTTCTTCGACTATTGTAGGTTCCATTAAATTATCTTGACTTTGAGTTTTTTGATTTTCACTTACATCGTCTTTGGTAATAGTTTTATATAAATTGTAAAATTTTGTTCTTCCTCTTGAATTATGCTTTCTTGCAGCTGGGTTTGTTTCTTCATTGTGTTCGTTTATTTTGCTTTTCATACAAGGTCTGAACGACGCTTTTCTTCATATTCGGTAAATTTTCAGTCAATTTATTCAATGTTGCTAAGGATCTAACTTTTGCCATTAGTTAGTATTCTGAAAGAAATAGAAATTTGTCTTTCTATGTGGAACTTCTTCAAATTCGGTAAATTTTCAGTCAATTTATTTAATGTTGCAGTGTTATTCTGATTCTTACACTAAAAACGAAACTTAACCTGAAAAAGTAAAAATCTTTATGTTTATCTTATATGAACTTTAGTAATACTAAACATTGGAAATATGCATGAAAAATAGCGGACGGATGGGATTCTACGAAATATATGGTAATAAAAGTACCAATGGCATGAAGAAAATAGAATAATTACTGATGCTAAATGTGTAATATTTAATGTTCACAATAATATTCGCTTTAATGTACACCTGAAGAAAAAGTTGATGAAACCACTAAACAGAGGTTTCGTAATATGTTTCATGATTGCAGCGAGGAATGCATAAAAAGCACTAAAGCGACGGCGTGCACGTGATAATACGCATCTCGCAGTTAACAATAAGATAAAATTGGTGATGAAAACTAAAAAAACATATTGTTTTAAGCAAAATGTTTTAATTTTTCCACAAAATTTTGATGAATTTAATCTTTCAGGTTCAAATAGAAAACGATATTGCTATTTAGATGTGTAAAGAATTTCATTATGATCTGTTTGAGATATCGTATTCAAGTGTTGTAAAATCATATCTTTGAGAAAGTGACATTTAAATAAAAACTGATTTTTTTTTCAATATCGAGGTAAATTTCAAAGGATTAAGAATATTTTTTATATTATACATTGAAAAGCTTATAATTTGTATTAGATATGCTGTTAGTTTTATAATAGTTTATTGAAATCTACATTTATTGCAATTTTTTGAAAATTTATTGGTAATAATTTTTCTGCTTAGAACATGACAAAAAGTTTCAAAATTAATATCTCAAAAACGACATCATGTTCAGAAAATCTGTTTATTTCATTGGAAAGTTTACAATTTATATTGCAAATGGTGACAATATCATAAGAATTCGTTAAAACTACGATTTATTATGGTTTTTTGAAAATGATCTTTTTATTCCGAAAAATGAGAAAATGCCTTAACTTTAAAAGTTAATATCTTAAGAACTAAAAGATATTTTGAAAATCGGTTTGTTACATTGAAAAGCTTATAATTTGACTTAGATATGCTGATAATTTCATAATGATTTATTGAAATCTAGATTTATTACGATTTTTTGAAAATTTAGTGGAAATAAATATTCTCCCTAGAAAACGCTTTATATTAAAAGTTAATACCTCACGAACTAAAAGGTTCTTTGAGGTTTAATCAACAAACCATCAAGTTGAAGCTATGATTAGTATTCTGGGTAACATCTGATTAGTACGTTGTCTTCCGATAGATCCTCATATTTCCCAATACAGTGGAACCTCCGTATACGACTGCTTTAGAATACGACCAATTCGGAATACTTCATGTTTTAATGAAACGAATTTTGCTAGGTATGAGATATTTATTCGGTAAACGATAAAAAAATTTGGTGAGAATTTTGCGGAATATAACACTTTTTTATAAGATAATTAATGAATTTAATTCAATAATACGTGAAATCTTTGAACAAGCAGCGCTATGATGTCTATACTAGGGAAATGTGGGATTCCCCCCTATTCGTGAAATTAGTTTTTAAGACTTCATGTAGAGTGAAGAGTTTTGGTAACGAAAGTCGGTGTATGTACAGTTCTTTCGGTGTACTAAATCTGCTAGACTTCGCGATTTATAAGTTCTGCTTATAAATTCTAAGTAAAATTTTATTAGTATCATGAATTTCAAGAAGGTAAACGGAAAGCAAAAGAAAACTAAAAAAAATGACAAGAATCACAATTGAACTGAAGTGGGGATTGTAAAATGAAGCCTTTACTGATCTACCATTCTGAAAACCCGAGGGCATTTAAAAAACATAAAGTCCAGAAGTCTCAGCTGCCAGTTATGTGGAGATCAAATAGCAAAGCTTGGGTAACGAGACAATATTTCACTGAATGGTTTAACGTTGTGTTTGGACCAAGTGTAAAACGTTATTTAG